AAATGATAAAGAAAAAGAAAAACCTAAAGAGAAAACGGCTTCTTCCCCTGCGCCTGAATCGAAAGCAGAGTTGAAAAAGCCGGAAATTAAAATCGAAGAAGAAAAGTCTAGTCCTGAGTCTGCAGATACCAAATCACCATCTTTATCGCCGCCGGATCAACCTCCACCGGAAAAACCTATGTCTGTAAATACAAACGACAAAGTCTCCCAGTCATTATCGGTTAGCAAGACACCCGCGATTACTCCAACTAATTCACAATTCAAGCTCAATGTGCGGGCATCAGAATGGAGACCTAATCCGAATGCAGCGACTTTCACTCCGGTACTTTATACACTAATAATGTAATCATGTTCAAAGAGATTATTTTTACGTAATAATATTCTACTTTTAGACTACACCAACATCAAGTACCGGTGATAAGAGGTCGCCCGGATCTGTGAGTATAAATATCATAAACGCATTAATTTTAAGCTTTTGCTTAATTCATTCATTCTATATATAGTCACCATTTTTCGGAAACAGGCAATTAAAAAAGAGCCCAGTATCATTAAAGGACAGTTTTAGTCCATTTCAAAAAGGGAAATTACCAAATCCAAGTACAATTCGTAAGTATTATTCATAAAAAAGTATCATTATCAAATCTCATTTGTATTAATGTTAGCTTCAATCTAAATTAGCACCAACTTGGCCATTTGGTGCAAGACCGTTTAGACATCAATTCACGGTTACTAATGCTTTTGAGGATGATATTTATAATCAAGCTGCAATGACTCAAAGCTTTGGTTTTACGTACCCGGTGGCTCCTCCGTTCAGGTATCCCGCTGCCGCTCAATATGTAAGCGTACCACCTCTTACGATGCAACAAGCTGCCCCCATGCCTTATATGCAACCTAGCGTAAGTGTTTATTTGCTATTTATTTATATTGCATTAATTAATTAATTGAACTACTTTTTCCTCGTATAGTTTGTTCCTAGTGTGCCTTTCACAACGCCACCAATCCCTGCCGCTAATGGTGCTCCTCGTAAGTTTTGCTTTCTATATATGGCCGCGTGTTATTATTATGTGGTAAATCATATTTGAACAAATGTCTTTATTAATTCGATTATAGCAACCATGTATAATCCTCAAATGTCATCGGTTATGCCTCCACGTATGTATTTATATTTATTGATTGAACTAATTAATATTGTAAAACTAATTGAATATCTATTTAACCGCAGAGCATTTCAATCCACAAGGATTCCCATCACCTGGGCGATCTCCGATGGTTCCTGCTGGCATGCATCCACAAATGTATTATCAGAATCCTCATGGTAAGCTTTAGCTCCACTTTTTTGACTATTTAGATGTATTTATTAGTTAATAATGTTAACTTATAATTTAGCTATGCCTCCAATGATGCGCTATCCTCATGACGGTATTCCGGTTCATGTTCCACCGAATGGAGTGATGATGAGCCAACGACCAATGATGATGGAACCGCATTATGTTCAACAACCCGAAACTCCGATGGGTAACAATTAAAAAAACCACCAATCATATTTGCACATAATCAATAAATATTTTGACTCGGAAGAAGGCATGATGATGACGGTGCCAAATCAATAATCACGAATAATCTTTTCAATTCTGTGTGTCATTGATACTATATCATCATTGTCATCCTTTTTTTCTTTAATCAATTACGAACAATTTCTTTCTTCGAGTTTCTTTTTTTCCTTTATATTTCTTCGTCGCTCTTGTCTTATTTGAAAGTTGACAACGAACTTTTTTAAATTAGGTTGAACAACTTGCAAATAATATTGTTTTCTATTGTTGGATTGGTAGTTAATCACCTTGACTTATTATCTGAAAATTTGGATGTGCGGGTATTTCCTCGACCTTTCGCTTATTTGAAGCTCTAAAGGCATCGTTGAAGAGATTTATTAATGGGATTGATACATTATTTTTTTTGGAGAAAAAAAATATTTTGAGGCGAACTTTAATTTGTTGAAAATGTATAAAAATAGTTTTTTCAGAGATATCAATCGAGAATTTTTTCCGAATTCTCTGTGTATAGTATAAAAATTTCATAAATAAAGTACGCGCAAGTGGGCAAACTTTATTAGCACTCCGGCCCGAAATCTTTATTGATACTTAGTTTCATTTCATTCATGATTTAATTCAGACTCGTAAAAGTTATATTACGGATATTCGTAAAACTTGAACATTTTCAGAATATGTGGATAAAATCTCAGATTCTCAGAGATATTAAGTATTACGTTTATAAACGATAACTCATTTCCCAATCCCGTGATTAGATCCACCCAATTTTGCTTTTCTCAAATTTGCTTTGTTATCTTTGTTATCAAAGTACAAATATATAGTTTGTCTTTCTTTTCTGGACCACCATCCCAATAATTGTAATGTGAAATTACTCATTATTACGGATTTCATTATTTTGTACAAATATTACTTGCGAACTTTTACACAAATTACGAATAATTTATCTTACGAATATGATATCAACTACGAGTATTACATCAATTACGGCAAAAATTACGATTTTTAAGTAAAAAGCTGCAACCTTTCAACTTTATTAAATCTATTACGGCGTGCCACAATTATTCTTCAGGAACTAAAAGGTAGAATGAGATTGTAAGTGAAAGTAAAAAAAAAATTGATGATTTATGGAACCAAACAAATGGCTTACTTTCAAGTTCACCCGTCTTTATTTTTTCCGAGATATCTCTGGGACTTTCACTATAATAAAAAAAGCCACCAATTATATTAAAATCCTTCTCAAGTAATTGCTTGCAGTTACATAGATCAACACGAACCCTTCGACCGTGCATCCGACACTATTACAAGTTCCCAGAATTTCTCTAACAACTCCAGCCAAAGTTTTAGCATATGACTTGAATCGCATCGTGCGTGCAATTTCGATCACCTCGTCAAGTGAAATATTGCCACTATGTTTAATATTTTTTTCTTTCTTACGATCGCGCGGCGGCTCTTTCAGTGCTCGAATGACTAGAGACGAAGCGCTTGGTACTACTGAAACTGTAGCCTGACGATTTTGAATCGTCAGTTGTACAGTCACGCGAAGACCTTTCCAGTCGGCTGTAGCTTTTGCGATATCTTCACCCACTTTTTTGGGAGCCTATGCATATATGGATTGAGATTGATTTGGGATCGATCAATGATTTAAATGCAGATAATTAACGGCGTAATTCTTTTTAACATACCAAACCAAGAGGTCCAATTTTTGGGGCGAGAGCAGAAGAAGCACCGACTTCCCCACCCGTAGCCCGCAGATAGATGATCTAAAGAAATTAATAAAGGATTTATATTTATATTTTTAACTATCTTGGTCGGAACAAAATTTATATTAAAAAACGAATCAGAAGACACATATATATATATATAAGCTTACTTTAACTTCGTTAGGGTCTATTTAATTTTTATTACACGTGCAAATAAAATGCAACCGCATACAGCTTTCAGACAATATGGCGAATGAAACTTTCGAACAAGCTTAAAGAGGTTCAAAAAAGGTAAACTTACCAACTTTTGGGGGCATTTTTGACCGACTAGCGCACGAAGAATAACGATTTAGACGGTAACAGAAAAATTTTTACCTTTGGTATAAATAATAGGCTAATCACGTGTCTCTAGGTAAAGATCAACTTGTTGCTTGCAATGAATGACTCATGACTCTGAGAGTCTAGGAAGAAAATTTTCGCACTAAATTTTTTTATTTCAAATCAATTTTTTTTGCTTTTCTCCTAACTGCAGAAAGAGAAGACCACTCAGTTACGTGGTGTCCTTTCTTTAAAACATTTTGTCTCGACTCCAAACGAGACCTTAACGAGTTTTTATATCTAAGTAAATAGAACGTGACGTTAAATTTTTTTAATCAAAGTAAAGAAAAAAAAAATTTTAAAAAAATGCTTAAACAACTCGCGTCGACGAAAAGCACAATATTTCGTTCCTTCCTATCACAACAAAATAGTCTAATTTCGGCCGCTGCCACGACACAATTTACGAAAAGAGCATTCTCAACCACCCAGAGTTTAGAGTCGGTTCTTTACATTGGTAACGTTAGTTGGAGCGCGACTGAACAAGACCTCAGTGAACTAACCTCAAAATATGGCGAGGCTACTATTCGTCTGCCACGAGATCAAATGGGTCGCGTTCGTGGTTTCGCATTTGCAGAATTCGCCGAAGAGGAAGCAGCTCAGAAAGCTATCGCTGATTTGGATGGAACAAGCTTCTTGGGTAGAGACTTAAAGGTGAGCATAGCTCAAGGGAGCTCTAGTGGCGGTGGCGGTGGCGGATATATTAATGGTCCTCGATTTGGGGGTGGTGGTGGAGGTCGAGATTACGGTGGTGGAGGATTCGGTGGTGGCGGTGGTCCTCCTCGATTCGGAGGTGGTGGCGGTTTTCCACGAAGAGACTTCGGTGGTGGTGGCGGTCGAGATTACGGTGGACGTGGTGATTATGGTGCTTCAAGAGGTGGTGGTAGCAGCTTTGGAGGGGGTGGTAGTGGTGGTGGCAGCTTTGGAGGAGGAGGTGGCGGTGATCGACGCCGTAGTTATGACGATGATGAATAAACTATTTCGGATATTTTTAGCCGTTAATATCGTTAAATTTCATTATTCTATATGAAAAAGTAAAATATCCAATAGTTCGATTACCCTCCTCGTGCTCCTTTCCTTAGTTTATTAATTGTTCATTCAATTCTTGTACATTTCTATTTGAAATTAACTACTATAACAACCATAACATTCCGACATTATCACAACGATTTTATTTACATACATACATACATGCATGCAGTATGGAATAACGACTTTTCTGGGATTTTTTTTATTTCTCATTTTTTTTTTACTTTTTACTACTACTAGAACACGTTTTGGGCGCGCTTTATTTTATTGATTGGATCTTCAAAAATTGTATTATTATTATTATTATTAATAGTACTCGATATAGTTCAATGGTGATATTAGTAGATCTTAAAATTGACAATTTTAATGACGAGAATTAATGGTTACAATAATAATTAGTTACAAAAATGTTCCCATCCAAAAAATACGAGTGTGTAATGATTTTTGTAGTAGTAAAAAAAAAGACTGGGCTAATGAATTAGAAAAATAAATTATATTATAAATATAAAACGATGATGGTCTGGTCAAAAATCTTTTTGTTTTTCTATACTTAATAAAATACTTAATAAAATATATCATATTAATTGAAGATTGTTTCTATTGCACATTAAAGTAATCTATAGTATAATAAAACAAAATTAATATATTAGGTGAAATTAAATATATTAGAAATATCATATATATTAAAAAAATTAAAAATATCATGAGAAGAGATAAAAATGTTATTAATCAACAGGAATCACGACATCATCTTCGTCCTGCATATATAAATTGCAATTTGAATTAGCGATTTGAATTATCAAATCAAGTCCAACTAGAAACGGTTACTTACAATCAGAAACTCCCGTAAAAGATGGGATTTTTCCTCATCCCAATAAATCCAAAAGCGTTGATAAATTATGGTCCATATATACGGGCAGAAAAAATTTTCAGGATACATAGATTCTTCATATTGGAATTTCAGCTCCGGAAATTCCTACAAATAAGTTATCAAATCAATCAATAATTTACCAAATAACGATGATAAGATATTTTATACGTACCTGTAGTCGACCAGGTGGCCAAGTCCTTGTAGCTGTTTCAATAATTTCGGCAATCTCTTCTGTAGATGGCGCTTTTATATTTGCTGCTGATACCCGAGTATTGAAATAGTCTATTACCTAAAAAATAAGAATGATTCAATTAGAAATAGAAATAAAAAAACCCTTGATTTAACCAATTCTTACATTATTAACGTTAGCAATTAACAGCGAGAAACGTGGAACTGTCAGGAAATGAGTAAACATGTCCTTCTTATGTAGCAATGCATATATTAATTGAGGATTAGAATTCAGTTTACAAGAAATTATTGCATTAACAATTTCCAAGACCAGACAGGCAAGATCTTCATATATTAAAATATCGGTTGACTTTGGATAGGAAATGGACGATTAGTAAAAACAAATCAATAATGGATCAGGTATTCATAATAAATGAATATGCTTACATTCTCATCCCCTTGTTGTGCTTTAATCTTTAATTTTTGATAACGTTTGGCTACGATGTCAAATAAACTATAGAAATATTATTTTAAATAAAACCCTTGTATCTTTTTGATTTATTTATATATAAAAATAACAATAAAATACTCACTTTACGAGGCGTTGTGAAACGTACGGATGAATATCTTGAACGGTGATAGACATGTTTGCAAGTATCGCCAAGCAATTCGTATGAATGAAAACATCCTAAATTTAAAACAATTAGTCATACATCTAATAAATTTCGTTGTCCATTTTTTAGACAAAATATAAACATGTAAAAACTTACTCTATGAATCGTAAGGTTAAACTGTATTAAACGAATCATAACAAGATAGACTATTCCACCAAGTGATGTTGATTTTAGAATACGTTCAGTGAACCACGGTTGATATGTTACTGTCTAAAAAAATAATGTTTATTAAAGTTAAAAAAAAATTAGAAATTCTTTCATAAATTAAATAAATCCGTACCACTTTTTGTATATTCTCATTGAAGACATCATCTTGACTGAAAAGCAACAGAATTGCAAGCATTATATATATTTGAGGGTAGTTTGTTTTGCCTTCTATATTTTCATATAATAATCGTAATATTGGAAGAAGCTTAATGAAGGGAAGAAATGGAAAATTAAGTTATTCTACCACATAAATATGTAAAGCAAATGAATAATCGAGGCCTGAAAATTGCTATACCAGTATTTCTGGATCTAAACGCGATAAAACATAAACTCTGAAGTCAACATTTTCAACCATAAAGATGTATAACAGCAGGCATATTTCCTCTGACGGTAATTGCCTGAAATAAGAGATCATTACCCCATGAATAAATGCAATCACAAAGCAATTGCAAGGATAAATTACAACAAAGTATCCACTTACTGATAAATAAACCGATATAATGATCGAAAAGATATTTCCATTTTTCCACCCATCAGACCTTTACAGGATAAACTCTTTTCAGAGCTATCATTAAGAAATTTTCACATCGCAAGAAATATTTTATAATAATTATGATAAAATACCTTGTTCATCTTTGAGATGACTTATGCCAATTCGAAAATGACTTTTAGATTCGTTTGAGACGGAAGATTGCGCCGTTAATAAGAGAAGAATGAGCAAACTTCGCTCAGCGATAGGATGTGGATCAAAAGAGGATACGGTAGGTGATTTAACGGCAAAAAGATAAGAATATGCGTTGTAAACTACATCTGGTATTATCATCGTCACGTAAAGTTGCAAAAGATTTAGCTTTTAAGATAAAAATATACGAGTTTAAAATAAAGACGGGAATCTTACTAGTTGAAACGGATGGCACCGTTTTCTGATCAATGAAATTTGTTACCAAGCGTTTAGTCAAGTCATCGATTAGGTAACTAGAATAGATAGAACGAGTCTTTAATGTTTATAGCGAAATGAAGATCTTATCAAATATAAAATTTATATACACTCACTTGAAATCATTAAGTAAAATATTGAGAAAGCAATTATTAACATTCTCGTCGGCATTTAGTTGATGTATTTGTGTGGATAGTAAAACAATCAGGGTATTTAAACATTCCTGATAAAATTCGTAAGAGGATGCATTGATACTTGCAAAAGTGAATAAAAGAGCATAATCGACATTAGACAGAAACAAATCGCAAACTTCCTAGTCATGTAACTTCTGTATAGGTCACTTACATAGGATCAACTTTTAAAATGATACTTAATAGAGAACCGAGAAATTCAACTATCATTGGCCTTTTAATATTAACATCATTTGAATCATTAGATGATTTGTTTAAACTTGTCCCATTCAAGAAATTTTTTCGATCCTGTTCTGATAATTTACTTGACGGAAATGGGGTACGTTGTGATCTACTATGTATACCTATAAAGGCATAACATAAGTATTTGAATGAATCAAGGATTTTCGAAAAATTTAAAAAATTGAGATTACCTTCAAATTGCCGATATATTTCATCCCCTGTTAAATTTCCAATAAAATGCTTTAAAAATATTCTTACCAAGAAGAGAGAATTGTAACATTGAATTGGAATCTCCCTATAGGGTAGCGTTTATACATAGCGCATTCATTA